TCGGAGAGTTGATCAGTTGGGTAAGATTAAGAGACTGGCAACATTCCTTGAATTTATCACAGAGGGGGGTGGACTTATCCCAGTCAATGTAGAAATCTCCTGCTAAAAAGATCTCTTTGAATTTTAAATTAACAAAGAATTCCATCAGGGAGGACAGAGCCTCAGGTCTTGTTGAGGGAGGACGATAACAACACACTTCAGATAAAATCTGGCTTCCATTTAAAGTGATGTTTACAGCTAAGGCTTCAAACTGGTTAGGAATTGTTTTAGAAGACAAGACTAGCAACCAGAGAATCTCTAAGTGCAATAATAATGTAATAATAGTGTAATAATAATGACTCCACCCCCCCCCCCCCTTTTTTTGACGTTCACAGCGGTAGATGTTAAATCCATTGGTTACCAGGTTATTATTCAGTACAGATTTGTTGAGCCAGGTTTCAGAGATGAAGATTACATCTGCCCCAGAAGAACTGATCAGAATTTTCAAGGCATCAAGTTTTCTCAGAAGGCTACGTGCGTTTACATGCAGAAAATGAAGTCCAGACACGTTTTTAAAGTCATTTGGTGTCATATGAATAGTGGGGGGTCCAAGGTTGGGCTGAATCCCTGAGAGCAGTAACAACATTATTATCAGACATTTTCTTGCGTTTTTCGTGACTGATGTGTATTTACAGGAGTTAGTAGTGTGACACTTAGCCCTCATAATTGACCCATGAGAAACATTAATGAACACGCGATCATTCAGAACCCAAAAACAGTGAAAGTTGCAATGATGGGCAACTCTAACTCTATCTTCATGAAGCTTGGCTCTCTGACTCATGGTTACAACCATTATACCTTCAAAATGAACGCAATAACTATTGAGGTATCATCACTGGACAGAAGAGTGCTAAACACCTACATAACTGAAATTATTTTAAAATGATTTACCGGTAAAACCCAGTCTTATCTAGGTCTTGTGACTGGAAGCCAAATGGTACTGGGAGAATGCAGTAAATATTGATTAAATTACTACCGTTAATATTTATTGGTAAACACATTTGTTAACAACTGCTGTTTTTAAATGTACTTTCTAAATAAATTTGACGTGATTTCTGCTCAACAAAGTGCTCATATGAGCAGGGAGGAAGGACCCCTCCCTCCCTAAAGGTCTCCTCAGTTCCGTTTAATGCCCCAGTTTAAACTTAAATGAGACACTAGTATTTAAACATATTTACCGTACACAGGTTTTTTAAAACCTTTTTTTTTTTAATATGTCTTGACTGGGACAGTACGGTGGCGCAACTGGTAGAGCTGCTGCCTCTCAGCGAGCAGGTCCTTGGTTCAAACCCCGGTCCAGGGGCCTTTCTGGGTGGAGTTTGCATGTTCTCTCCGTGCATGCGTGGGTTTTCTCTGGGTACTCCGGTTTCCTCCCACAGACCAAAAACATGCATGTTAGGCTGATCGGTAACTAAATTGTCCCTAGGTGTGAGTGAGAGTGAATGGTTGTTTGTCTCGTTTGTCTCTATGTGGCCCTGTGATGGACTTGTGACCCGTCCAGGGTGTACCCCGCCCCTCACACAGTGATTGCTAGACACGGGCACCGGTGACCCCCGTGACACAAAATGGAATAAGCTGGTAAAGATCAATGGATAGATGGATGTCTTGACTGGGGCAGCACGGTGGCACAACTGGTAGAGCTGCAGCCTCTCAGCGAGCAGGTCCCTGGTTCAAATCCCGGTCCGGGGGTAGGGCTGGGTACCTTTCAAAAAAAATCCGTACCGGTGCCGGTACCTTCACTTCGGTGTCGGTTCCTGGATGGTTCTTTTTTCGGTACCAATTTTGTAATTACTATTAATTCTAACAAGAATAAAATTAGTTACACATTACAGTACAAATTGTGAGTTTTATTTTTTAACTTTGGTATTTTTCTATTCCAAGCAGTTTTCTTACATAAAAACAAACAAATAATTTCCAGGTCAAAAGACCAGTTGCAAACCAGTGACACGTCAGTGTCTAATGCTCACTGCTACACACTGAGGACCTTTTCACTGAACAGTTTTTATTCAGAAACATCAACATGTCTGTTTTCTCTGGACACAAACAAGATGCTCCTGGCTGATGGTGTCTCCAGCAGTAGAACATGTTCACTCTGAGGCTGTAGATGATGATTGTTGCACACACAGATACCTGGTTGTCAGTTTGACATAGTGTCCCTCACATCCCACCAGCAGGTCACTGGATTCAATGAGGTAGTGATGATGCAGACTTCTGCACCTCTGTGTCTCTGCCTGGATCTTCTCTGTGGTTCTCTGGGGTTTAGGGCTCTGATCATCTCCCTAATTGACATGAGAACACAAAACATCAACAATAACATGGTTGTGTTATTATTGATCAAAAATCATTATCTAGGCTGAGAGATAAAGGTTTAACTGGTCAACAAAATCCTTTAAAGTTTAATTTACCTCCAACACGCAGCTCCACTGTAGAAAAAGCAGCAAATTTTTAACAACAAAGTCTGATTGTCCTGTGCTCCACCTCGCTTTTCTTTTGTCCTCCTCACATCTGGGTCAGAGGCTCCTGTGAGGAGAACATGAACATAAACAGTGAACATTAGTGAACTGTTTAAGCAGCTGATCCAATGGATGAGCACATTTTTACTACGATTTACGATTGATGATTATGATTTAAGATTTATGTTGCTGTCAATCTTTAGTTAGCTTCCGAGTTTAGCTAGCTACGTAGATAAAATAAATTTACACACTAACATGTTAAAGTTAGCGTTACATGGATCATAATTTATTTCACCGCAATGTACGTGTTAAGCTGCAGTTACGCTAACAAACGTAACTCACCAGCTGAAACTCACAGAGACATCCTCGGAGTTCTTTGATGAAGAGTCCGGTCGTGGAGATAATAAATCAGGACGTTCAGGCTCTACTCACAGGCTGACTTTAATGGTGAGAGGAGGAGGAGGAGGAGGGGGGAGGCTAATGAACTCTTCTCTCCTCGCAGAAAAACACGGAGCAACATTCTGCAGCGCGTGTTGTTGAAGCCGTTCGACAACACGCGCTGCACACGTGAACCCGTCTGTGGGCGTCACCAGCACCATAGACATAATTATACATAGATTAGGTGTGGCAGCTCTATACAGCTCTGGGTGTAGTCTGTTTGTCATATGTCTGGTGTTTTACCAGCCTGCATGCTGAAACCACGTGACACGTTACAGCCAATACCGAAACTTGACACCGAAAGAAGAGTGACGTTTCAATACATACACCGACCGGTGCAGTTCGGTCGGTGCCATAAAAGAACCTCGGTTCGGTACTCAGCCTTATCCGGGGGCCTTCTGGGTGGAGTTTGCATGTTCTCTCCGTGCATGCGTGGGTTTTCTCTGGATACTCCAGTTTCCTCACACAGACCAAAAACATGCATGTTAGACTGATTGGTAACTCTAAATTTTCCCTAGGTGTGAGTGAGAGAGTGAATGGTTGTTTGACTTCTTTGTCTCCCTGTGATGGACTGGAGACCTGTCCAGGGTGTACCCCGCCCCTCTCACAGTAATTGCTGGACATGGGCACCGGCGACCCTCGTGACCCAAAATGGAAGAAGTGCCCAAAAGATAATGGATGGATGGATGTCTTGACTGATTTCTTTCATAAGAAATTCTCTGTTCATTTTCCATTATCGCTGAACAAATGAATAGGTTTGTGCATGAAGCGTAAAATACGATAAATAACACGGGAACTATCTTAAAAACTTAATGTGTGTTTATCTTGGGGGGGTCTCTTTTGTCATTTAGGTTAGACTTCTGGTCACATGATGACAGAGTGGGTGGAGTTATGGTAGGGCATTTGAAATTGTGACCAAGAGTTGTTGTACATCTGATTACCATGAGGGCATTCTCTGTGTGTCGCAAACGCCTGCCCCATGAGGGGCGGCATGCTGGGAGCCACGAATGTCCAGCTCTGTCAAAGGAAAATGCAGTCAGTGGCAGAAAAATACAGAGAGATGTCAGGAAGTGTTTCAAAATAAAATATGAAACTTTTAATTTTAGTAATTATGACAAAAATACATCAACAAGATGCTCCTGCATATAAACCGCGGGGTACAAAGTGTGAGACAAAAGTAGTGGTTTGTACACTGAAGTACAGGACAGGTTGTATTGAAGCTTTAGGAAATAATCCTAGATGATCATCCATCCATCCATCCATCCATTATCTTTACCCGTTTATTCCATTTTGGGTAACGGGGGTCGCTGGTGCCCATGTCCAGCAATCACTGTGCGAGGGGCGGGGTACACCCTGGACGGGTCGCAAGTCCATCACAGGGCCACATAGAGACAAACGAGACAAACAACCATTCACTCTCTCACTCACACCTAGGGACAATTTAGAGTTACCAATCAGCTTAACATGCATGTTTTTGGTCTGTGGGAGGAAACCGGAATACCCGGAGAAAACCCACGCATGCACGGAGAGAACATGCAAACTCCACCCAGAAGTCACCTGGTCCGGGGTTTGAACCAGGGACCTGTTCGCTGAGAGGCAGCAGCTCTACCAGTTGCGCCACCGTGCTGTGCCTAGATGATCATCTTCAATTGAATAGTTTCTGGAGTTATCTCACTTCAATATGGCTGTCACAGCTAAGAGCAAACACAGACATGGTTATAACTTTGTCATATTTATTAATATTAAACAAAAATTTGACATAATAGTAGCTAAGAGTCTTTCATAACACGTACTCTGAGGACTAACAGGTGACGTAAGATCATTCAGGATTTCATTAAAACCGCTTTAACTCCAATTTCTCAACATACGATCATTTCAGTAGTTTAAAGTAGGACATGACAGGTGGTGGGCAATATATCCTCTCCTTCTGTGTAACTTTAATTACATTGTGAATTCTGTTTGGTCTTCTGTCTGTGCAGAATCCATCAGCTGAACAGTACATTGGTAGGAATATTATCCAGTGATGGAAACACCAACTGTGTGTTGTTTGTGTGTTTCTCGTGTCTTCAGTCCACTGGAAAGATGGTTGCCGTAGACAACAGCCATGCTCAGCGTGTCCTGTCCTGCCTGAACCAGCAGAGGGCAGTAGGGAAGTTCTGCGATGCCGTGCTGAATTTGGGCAACGGGTTTCTCTACCTGGCTCACCGCAACATCCTGTCCTGCTTCAGTGAACTGTCAGAGCTGTCCAGCACCAGTGGCGCTCCGCACACCGAGTTCTTCCTGCAAAGTTGCCCCAGCGACGGCCTGGAGCTGGTCCTGAACTTCATCTACACCGGAGAGCTGAGGCTGGAAGAGGACAACCTGCAGAAGGTGCAGCAAGCAGCAGCCAGCCTGTGCGTGCCTGAAGCTCTCGCTCTCTGTCAGCAGTTCCTGCACTCCTCTGTGGAGTTGCCGCCTGCGAAGACGAAACGAGGCGGATCCAGAAAGGCCCCGTCAATGGGGATCAAGGAGGAGAACCTGCTCCCAGCCCCAGCAGGTGAGTCTGCAGAAGCTGCTGTAGCTCCCACCACCACACGCTCCGGTCGGGTAGTGAAGGGCCCCAAGTGGCTGACGACCGCCGAGGAGAGCTCCACATCTGACTGCAGGAGGATGGTGCTCAATCCTGAAGAGAGACAAACCACTGAGGAACATCTGGTAGCTGAACAGCTTGCTGCTGACTCTCAGGTAGAATCACACACTATCCCAGAGGTGAAGGTTAATATCAACCGCTGCAGAAGCTGGAAGGGTAATAATGTTTTTTGCCTTCGTCTATTAGTTCGTGGGTATTTGGAGTAATTTTGTCTGTTGGAAAAATACTTCATAGACTCTATGACTGGTTACCTTTTGAAGTGAATCAGATTTAAGATGGCTTCCACAGTCAACTGACGAGGAAACACATGAATAGCTATAACTCAACCATTTGTACGCATGTTGAGCTAAAACTGGATGTGGTAGTTGCTGAGAGTTATTTTTTCATTACCTCTACACATTAAGCAACACATTAAGGTTCAGTGTTGGCAATAAACACTGGAGTCAACACGGCCTGACTGTTAGCAAAATATCTCATGAACCACTGGACAAAGTTTAGTAAAACTCTTGGAAAGTAATCACTGGGCGTTACTTTCGAAGTCTGTCCAAATGAAAATGGCCACCCCACCTAACTGATCTTAGCCAACACAAAAATGACTCTAACGAAGTCATTTCTGCAGACATGAACTAGTCAGGTCGCGATGAACAATAATTCAATTAATTGCATGATAAATTCAATTTATTGACCTCATTTTCATTTATCGGCTTTATCATTTCATTGTGTCTCTCTCTTTCTACTGAAGACACTGGATGATAAAAGTCTCAACTCCGGTGTTCTTCCCTGACCCCTCCTTTTCTCTTTTCTCTTTAAAATCCATTTTAACTGTCCAAAATCATGTTTTTGGACGGTTAAAAGCAGCTCAGCTTAGAAGCTAAACTACGAGCTAAGTTAACTGGCCGACCTCGGACCTCGGGGGGGGGGGGCGAAATCTCTGTCTTGTCAAAGCTCCAAAATTCACGGCTGAAACCCATGCCTTCGTGTAAAAAAGTTGTTTTTCTCTGCAAAAAATGCTGAGAACTTGTTTAATTAAAAGCTTTGTGTGAAAAATGCTATGCTAAAGAGCTCAAACCGCACCAAGCGTCCACCATTTTGAGAACTGACAAAAAGGAAAGAGACAGCCCATATCTTGTCAAGGGGCCTCTCTCCCATTTTTCTTAGAGACATGCTGCTCGGTCCCTCACTATCCATCCTTCGGTTCAAACAATCTTATACTGCTATTATTCAGTGGTCAAAAAAGGTACTACACACAAAACAAATGATCCAACATTTCTTCTTAAATTTGACAATAATTACTAATTATTGTTATTATTATTATTATTGTTTATCGCAATAATTTCTGAGACAATTAATCCATCCATCCATTTTCTTCCGCTTATCCGGGGTCGGGTCGCGGGAGTAGCAGCCTAAGTAGGGAGGCCCAGACTTCCCTCTCCCCAGCCACTTGGGCCAGCTCTTCCAGGGGAATCCCGAGGCGTTCCCAGGCCAGCCGAGAAACATAGTCCCTCCAGCGTGTCCTGGGTCTTCCTCTGGGCCTCCTTCCAGTGGGACGTGTCCGGAACACCTCACCAGGGAGGCGTCCAGAAGGCATCCTAAACAGATGCCCAAGCCACCTCAACTGGCTCCTCTCGACATGGAGAAGCAGCGGCTCTACTCCGAGTCCCTCCCAGATGATCGAGCTTTTCACCCTGTCTCTAAGGGAGAGCCCAGACACCCTGCGGAGAAAACTCATTTCGGCCGCTTGTATCCGAGATCTCATTCTTTCGGTCACAACCCAAAGCTCGTGACCATAGATGAGGGTGGGAACGTAGATCGATCGGTAAATTGAGAGCTTCGCCTTTTGACTCAGCTCTCTCTTCACCACGACAGACCTGTACAGCGCCCGCTGCACTTCAGATGCTGCACCTATCCGCCTATCGATCTCACGCTCCATTTTTCCCTCATTCGTGAACAAGACCCCAAGATACTTGAACTCCTTCACTTGGGGTAGGACCTCCTCCCTGACCCGGGGAGGACACTCTACCCTTTTCCGGCTCAAGACCATGGCCTCGGATTTGGAGGGACTGATCTTCATCCCGGCCGCATCGCATTCGGCTGCGAACCGCTCCAGCGAAAGCTGTAGATCACGATCTGATGAAGCCAATAAGACCACATCATCTGCAAAAAGCAGAGATGCAATCCTAAGGCCACCAAAACATCCCCTCAACACCTTGGCTGCGCCTAGAAATTCTGTCCATAAAAGTTATGAACAGAATCGGTGACAAAGGGCAACCTTGGCGGAGTCCAACTCTCACCGGGAACAAGCCCGACTTACTGCCGGCAATGCGGACCAGGCTCTGACACCGGTCATACAGGGACCTAACAGCCCGTATCAAAGGGCCTGGTACCCCATATTCCCAGAGTACCCTCCACAGGGCCCCCTGAGGGACGCGGTCGAACGCCTTCTCCAAGTCCACAAAGCACATGTAGACTGGTTGGGCAAACTCCCACGCACCCTCCAGGACCCTGCTGAGAGTGTAGAGCTGGTCCAGTGTTCCACGGCCAGGACGAAAACCGCACTGTTCCTCCTGAATCCGAGGTTCGACTATCCGACGGACCCTCCTCTCCAGAACCCCCGAATAGACCTTACCAGGGAGGCTTAAGAGCGTGATTCCCCTATAGTTGGAACACACTCTACGGTCCCCCTTTTTGAATAGGGGGACCACCACCCCGGTCTGCCAATCCAGGGGAACTTCCCCCAATGTCCACGCAATATTGCAGAGTCGCGTAAGCCAACACAACCCTACAACATCCAGAGCCTTTAGGAACTCTGGGCGAATCTCATCCACCCCTGGGGCCTTGCCACCGAGGAGCTTTTTAACCACCTCGGTGACCTCAGCACCAGAGATTGGAGGGCCCGACTGCGAGTCCCCAGGCTCTGCTTCCTCAGTGGAAGACGTACCGGTGGGATTGAGGAGGTCTTCAAAGTATTCCGCCCACCGACCCACAACATCCCGAGTTGAGGTCAGCAGCACACAACTCCCACTATAAACAGTGTTGGTGGCGTACCGCTTTCCCCCCCTGAGACGCCGGATGGTGGACCAGAATCGTCTCGAAGCCGTGCGGAAGTCGTTCTCCATGGCCTCTCCGAACTCCTCCCATGCCCGAGTTTTTGCCTCAGCAACCACCCGAGCCGCATGTCGCTTGGACTGCCGGTACCCATCAGCTGCTTCCGGGGTCCCACAGGCCAAAAAGGCCCGATAGGACTCCTTCTTCAGCCTGACAGCATCCCTCACCGACGGTGTCTACCATCGGGTTCGAGGGTTGCCGCCGCGACAGGCACCGACAACCTTGCGGCCGCAGCTCTGGTAAGCCGCCTTGACAATAGAGGCACGAAACATGGTCCACTAAGACTCAATGTCCCCCACCTCCCTCGGAACATGTTCAAAGTTCTCCCGGAGGTGGGAGTTGAAACTCCATCTCACAGGAGACTCTGCCAGACATTCCCAGCAAACCCTCACAATACGTTTGGGTCTGCCAGGTCTGACCGGCATCCTCCCCCACCATCGGAGCCAACTCACCACCAGGTAGTGATCAGTTGATAGCTCCGCCCCTCTCTTCACCCGAGTGTCCAAGACATGTGGCCGCAGATCAGATGAGACGATGACAAAGTCGATCATCGAACTGCGGCCTAGGGTGTCCTGGTGCCAAGAGCACATATGGACACCCTTATGCTTGAACAAGGTGTTCGTTATTGACAATCCATGACGAGCACAGAAGTCCAACAACAGAACACCACTCTGGTTCAGATCAGGGGGGCCATTCCTCCCAACCACACCCCTCCAGGTCTCACTGTCATTGCCCACATGAGCATTGAAGTCCCCCAGCAGAACAAGGGAGTCCCCAGAAGGTGCACTTTCCAGTATCCCCTCCAAGGACTCCAGAAAGGGCGGATAATCCGAACTGCCGTTTGGTGCATAAGCACAAACGACAGTCAGAACCCGTCCCCCCACACGTAGGCGGAGGGAGGCCACCCTCTCATTCACCGGGGTGAACCCCAACACACAGGCACCAAGTTGGGGGGCAATAAGTACGCCCACGCCTGCTCGGCGCCTCTCACCAGGGGCAACTCCAGAGTGGAAGAGTGTCCAGCCCCCCTCAAGGAAACTGGTTCCAGAGCCCGAGCCATGCGTAGAGGTGAGTCCGACTATTTCTAGCCGGAACCTCTCAGCCTCACACACCAGCTCAGGCTCCTTCCCCACCAGTGAGGTGACATTCCACGTCCCAATAGCCAGCTTCTATAGCTGAGGATCAGACCGCCAGGGTCCCCGCCCTCGGCCACCACCCATCCCACATTGCACCCGACCCCTTTGGCCCCTCCCACAGATGGTGAGCCCATGGGAAGGGGGACCCACGTCTCCTCTTCGGGCTGTGCCCGGCCGAGCTCCATGGGTAAAAGCCCGGCCACCAGGCGCTCGCCCGCGTGCCCCACCTCCAGGCCTGGCTCCAGAGTGGGGCCCCGGTGACCCACGTCCGGGCAAGGGAACATTAGGTCTGTTTATTTTTCTCATCAAAGGGGTTTTTGGGCTGCACTTTGTCTGGTCCCTCACCTAGGACCTGTCTGCCATGGGTGACCCTACTAGGGGCATAAAGCCCCTGACAGCATAGCTCCTAGGATCATTGGGACACTCAAACCCCTCCACCACGGTAAGGTGGCAGCCCAGGGAGGGGAGACAATTAATCACCCAGCAAAATTTCTTATTGTGACAGGCCTAGTATAAAGCTAACAGTCGGTGTGGTTGTAGCTGAGAGTTATTCACAAACATATTCTGAGCTCTAACACAACTTTGAATGTCTTGCAATATTGCTTGTGAATGTGCTTAACATTTGTTTAAAAAATGTACCTCAAACAGCTGCAACCATTTCAATCTCTGGCATGAGGCGACAGGCGGTTAGCGTTCCTTCAGTTAGGTGTTTCTCCTGCTGTTCACAGGTAGCAGAGCTGCAGATGGACACACAATACTGTGGTTTGAGCCCCATAACAGGTGACGAAGAGGAAAATGAGGAAGATGATGAAGCTGCAGTCAATCTTGACACAGATGACGAGTATTTACCTGCTGGTGAGCATAGTTCTACAGGAACGCCTGCATCGACAGAACCGAAGGCCCAGAGTAATGCTGCAGAGAACGTCTCCAACAAAGACTCGGGTCAGTGTCCCATCTGCTACAAATCCTTCAAGAGCAAATACTACCTCAAAGTCCACAACAGGTACAGAGTTTCTGCTTTCTACCTCCTGGGACTTCCTGTGGGGAAAACAAACCACTGATGCATGTTTCTTGCAGGCGGCACACTGGAGAGAGACCCTTTGGGTGCCTCAAGTGTGGGAAGAGGTACTTTAGGAAGGATAATCTTATGTTTCACCAGAGCAGAGATTGCACCCAAGTTCTGGTGAGTGAAGGGAAAAGCAAAAACAAACATGCGTGAGGTAACTTTGTTGTGAGGAAACCTCTCTGCTGTGATCCCAGACCTGTTCCATATGCCCTTCAAAGTTCAACACCAAGGAAGAGCTGCGGGTGCATGGGGTCACACACACAGGAGAGATGCCCCACAAGGTGACTGCTGCTTCTCTAATGGCTACTTGATGTCATCAGTGAAGCAAAATTAGTTCATGTGATGTTCTCTGTTTTCAGTGTTCCACTTGCAGCGAGCAGTTTATGTACAAGAGGAACTTGACAATGCACATGATGAAGGCCCACGGTCATCCCAAACCACATGCAGTAAGTCTTCTCTTTGTCTGATGGTTGTTTAGTGTCAGAAAGAACAATAGTAAAGGAGAGAACATGTTGGAAAGTAAAGTCCTACAATTCCTGGGAGGAATTGCATCACCTGCCACCTCAGTTTTATGGGCTGACTGCATGTATGGGTCCCAAGACCCATTCATCGTTTTCCCTTTGCAGATACCTCCCCATCCTGACTGGGAGACAACTGCTGTGACAAGTTTCCTGTTCTGCACAATTCCCATAGGCACACCCTGGGTCAGAGCACTGGTATCTCTCCAGGGGTGTAGTGCTATGGTGCAGGCTGCTGTAACTCTCACTCTGTGACAAATGTGTGGGTTCATTCTCAGCTGAGAGGCCACCCAGCGTTATACTCCTGTTATGTGGAGATGTCCCAGCAGGACCACTACTGGTGTTAGAGACGGAGACATGTCTGTGTTGCGCTTCATTTGTACAAACGTTTTTTTTAGGGTGGTGTGGGAGACGGGTCAGAGGGAAACGCAATGCTTTTTAGCTTGCATATCTGTATTGTGCACTGCTACGTCAGTGCCTGCATTTGTCAACGGGGGGTGGGGGGTGTTTTGGTTCAGTAAGCAAGGGGCTTGGTTCTGTTGGGGGGGGGGGGGGGGGGGCTGCTGCTTGTATAATGGTAGGGGAAACACTGCTGTCAGTGGTGGCTGTCCCATCTTGAAATTTTATTTCCACATGAGCAGGTACCTGCAGGCCCTCCTCTGGTTTTGTGGAAGCCCTGAAGGTCTCCATGTTCCAGGAAGTTTATCTGAAAAGCTACGTGTAGCTGGTGAGAGCTAAGCTATCCAGTTGTGGCTAGGGTAGGAGGAGCATTGTCATTCCCCAATATGTTACGGAAGTATGATCCGTAGTATACTTCTGGGTCGCACGGATCGCCGTTGTATATGAATAAAAACTGTCTTAATTTACTTAGAAAAGTACGTGCTCTGTCTCCACTGACCTGCATGTAGCTAATTTACGCCACTCGTATTTCCGTTACAAGTCATTGGTTAAAATGATATGCGACGCATTAGACCTGACCCCCCTGGGCTGAATGAGAAAAACCCTGCAAGATACAGAATTAATTATTTCCATGGTGCAACAGCACCACTCAGTGGTGAAGCTGTATATAATTTTAACCATGACGTAAATATGTCAGTGATTTTAACGAAAACATGAGTGGCGTAAATTAGCAACATGACGATCGGCGGAGATATAGCACATACAAACCGGATTCCAAAAAGTTGGGACACATTGTGAATAAAAACTGAATGCAATGTTGTGGAAGTGCCAACATCTAATATTTTATTCAGAATAGAACACAAATCACAGATCAAAAGTTTAAACTGAGAGAATGTATCATTTTAAGGGAAAAATCTGTTTCCAAATTTCATGGCGTCAACAAATCCCTAAAAAGTTGGGACAAGTCCATTTTTACCACTGTGTGGCATCCCCCGTTCTTTTTTTTTCCCCTTGTCCTGTCCGGCATTGTGACACTTAGAATTATTGTCTGAGTGTCAAAGTGATGCCCAACAGATTTACTTTCACAAGCAGAGCATTATGGCTGGCCTTAATGCTCCACTTGATATATAAATAAAATTTTATTAGAATATGCTTTGGGTTTGTTTCAGATGTAATGGACACGGGGACGGAAAACAAAGAAGATAACAAAGCAGAAAAGTGAGAGAAGAGTTAAAATGTAAAGAAGGAGATAGGAATAGAGGAGAGAGAGAGGGATAAAGAGAACACAAATCAACATCATTGAAGTCTGCCTCTAGACCTGCGGAAAGAGAAAAAAACCCCGACAAAACCAAGAAACCACAACAACAAACAACTTATATAATTATAGTTATAACATCATTAGAAAGTATTTTATACAGTACATGGTAATACAATATATATTTGATGGTCACCACAACCCAACTGAGTGTGTATCTGATAAACACCTGAATCTAAACACCTGTGTGAGCATGCTTATCTCTAAGGTTTCTCCATAAAAATGTTCAGTAATGGATGTGGTTACCCATAAACCTGTCCCCACAGGACACAAAGGTAACACAGGGAAGACTGGAACCACAGACACACAGCGGCTCCCAAGCCCGGAACTCCGGGAGTCCCCCAACAGGGACACCCACACCCCCCAGAGAGAGAAGCAAAGGGAAGCCCTGGGCAATCCCCAGCAACCACAATGCAGAAACCCCCAGGAGGCTGCAGCAACGAGTCAACAGGTCCCGCCAGCAACCCGCCCCTCCAGAGTGGTTCCGGCCATGGGCACCAAGCCCCGAGTCCCGAGGTCATACCACCCCCCGACAGAGCCAGGGCACCCAGGCCCCCGCAGGCAGCCAACCAGGGCGGGCCCGCACACACCCCAGCCCCAGCTGCTGAGAGCCGCCATTGCACCGGCGGCAGGGGAGCCCACCACCGGAGGGGAGCACGACCCACCAAATGGGGGGCCAAAACTGGTCCAAGAGAGGGGGGGCACCCAAAACCCAACCTGAGACTAACAGTCACACAGAGATAGCCCGACAGAGCCTCTGTTGGGCTGTCCATGCGCCCCACCTGCCCAACAGTTACCGCAAGCCGGCCCCAGGCCGGGGGCCAGAGCAGCGGGGAGCAGCAGCCGAGGAAGGCCGGCCCACCGCACCAATGCATCCCTAAAGCCGCACACCACAGACCCGGAGAAGCCCCGGCATGCCATCCTTGTTTCCAAATTTCATGGCGTCAACAAATCCCAAAAAAGTTGGGACAAGTCCATTTTTCCCATTTTTTGTGGCATCCCCCCTTCTTCTTACAACACTCAACAGACGTCTGGGGACAGAGGAGACCAGTTTCTCAAGTTTAGAAATAGGAATGCTCTCCCATTCATGTCTAATACAGGCCTCTAACTGTTCAATCGTCTTGGACCTTCTTTGTCGCACCTTCCTCTTTATGATGCACTAAATGTTCTGTATAGGTGAAAGATCTGACAAAGAAGAAATAATGAAGGTAGTTAAAAAAATTTACTGACAAAAGATCAAAAGACTGTGAAGACATGGATATGATGGTTGTAAAAGCAATAATAAGTCATGTTATTGAGCCATTTACATATATATGTAATTTGTCATTTTCAACAGGAATATTCCCAGACAGAATGAAAATAGCTAAGGTAGTTCCTCTTTTTAAACATGGTGACAAATGTGTATTTAACAACTACAGACCTATATCTTTGTTGCCACAATTCTCAAAAATTCTAGAAAAACTATTTGTGACCAGACTTGACCTATTTCTTGATAAAAATAGTATTTTAAGTAATAGTCAGTATGGATTTAGATAAAAAAATTCAACATCCATGGCTCTTATGGAATTGATGGAACAAGTTACTACAGCTATAGATCAAAAACAACATTGTATAAGTATATTTGTGGATTTAAAAAATGCATTTGACACAATTGACCACACGATTCTGATTAATAAATTAAAAAAATATGGCATTAGAGGACCAGCTTTGCAATGGATATGTAGTTATTTAAAAGACAGAAAACAGTTTGTACAAATAGACGATGTAAGATCAAACCTAAACAGTATTTCATGTGGAGTGCCACAAGGCTCTGTACTTGGACCTAAGTTGTTTATTTTGTATGTAAATGATTTGACGGAGGTGTCCAGTATCCTAAAATGTGTTCTCTTTGCTGATGATACCACTTTCTTTTATTTGGGTAAAGACTTGGAACAGATGTTTGAGTTAATGAAGAAGGAGTTTGTCAAAATACAAAATTGGTTTAAATTAAACAAGTTATCATTGAACCTAGATAAAACTAATTATATGATATTTAGTAAAAAAAAGATAACTGTCGATGTTCCTTTTAGAGTTGATGGTGTTGAGATATGCAGAGTAGGTGAGGTGAAATTTTTGGGTGTAATTATTGATGATAAACTGTCATGGAAACAGCACATAAATTCTGTAAAAACTAAAATATCTAAATCCACCGCAGTACTGTATAAAGTAAGGGACTTATTGAATGATAAAGCCTTGTATTTGCTGTATAATACAATTATAGTCCCACATTTAATTTATTGTGTTGATGTTTGGGGAACAGCATGTAAAACTATAACGATGCCTATTTTTATTTTGCAGAAAAGAGCTATAAGAATTATCACAAGAAAGCATTATTGTCATCCATCTAGTATTTTATTTTATCAATTGAAATTACTGAAGTTTCATGATTTGGTTAACTATAATATTCTTTTAGTACTGTATAAAGCTCAGAACTACACACTACCTTCAAATATTCAAACGTATTTTGTAAAAAGGAAAAGTTGCTATAATCTTAAGGGAACAGACATTTTTGTTAAACCACAGTACAGAACCAGTTTAAAGGGGCGGTCTACTTCAATTCAGGGAATAGGTCTGTGGAATAGTTTGGAAAACGATGTAAAAAAGTAAGGTCATTGCCTATATTTAAGAAAATGATTAAGATTAAAATTTTGGAAAGATATATATAAATATGTAAAATTGTGATGAGTTAATTATTTTGTTATATTACTTATAGATGATTATTGTTTGAATTGATTGTTTGAATTGATTTTGTTTTAAACAAGGGGCAGATATGATAAGATTTTTTCTTCTTCTGCTACCTTTCATTTTCTGACGTGTTTTTTTTTCTCATTTGGTTTCTAAATTGTTTGTGTTTTAAATATGAAATGAATAAAAATGACAAACAAACAAACAAACAAAGATCTGGACTGCAGGATGGCCATTTCAGAACCCGGATCCTTCTCCTACATAGCCATGATGTTGTGATTGCTGCAGAATGTGGTCTGGCATTATCGTGTTGAAAAATGCAGGGTCTTCCCTGAAAGAGATGACGTCTAGATGGGAGCATATGTTGTTCTAGAACCTGAACATAGTTCTCTGCATTAATGGTGCCTTTCCAGACATGTAAGCTGCCCATGCCACAAGTGCTCATGCAACCCCATACCATCAGTGATGCAGGCTTCTGAACGGAGCGTTG